CATTGCATGTAAAGGATGGGCCCCAGTTGGCACGATATACTGTCCTTTTTATATATCACCCAATTTCATTTACCAATATTTTGTTAAGAAATTTTATGTCTATGATCATGAGGTTTCTAGTTCTCTAATTTTTCTTTTCTTGTAATGCTTTGTCTTGTTTTGGTGTAAGGGTAGTGGCCTCATAAAATGAGCTGGAAAGTGTTTTCTTATACCTTCCAAGAGAGTTTATATAAAAGAATTCCTGTTCCTATTGAACTTTTCATATAGTAATATTTGGGGTTTTTAATTTCTTAAAATGGAATATGTGTTGTTTTATACTGTCATTAAGCAGTCAATTGTCTTGTAAAGATATTTTAAAATCTTTAAAATTATGTTTTATTTACCTTATTTTTTTTTACAATTTATGCCAATGTACATTCCTTTGTTTAGATTCATCTTTCCATTTGCTATCATTTTTCTTCTGTCTGAAGAACTTTTTTTAACAAATCTCATGGTGCAGGTCTGTTGTTAGTGAATTCTTTTAGCTGTTGTCTGAAATCTTCCTTATTTTGCCTTTGCATTTGGAAGGTATCTTCACTGGTACAGATTTCAGATTGACAGGTTTCTTTTTTTCCCAATACTTTAAAGAGATCCTATTTTCTTTTGACTTGTATAATTTCTGGTCAAAATCTGTGATTATTCCAATATATGTACCTCTGTTAGTAATGTTTCTATTTTTTCTGACTACCTTCAAGATTTTCTCTTTATCTTTGTTTTTCAGCAGTTTGATAATGATATGTATGACAGAATGTAGGTTGTTTATTTTTTATTCTACCAAGGTTCTCTGCTCTGCTTTGATCTTGTGCCTTGTTTTGCAAATCTTCAGCCTTTTTCACTTCAAATATGTCTTCTGCCTTGTTTGATTTTTCTTTTCTTCTTGGGCCTTCAAATATACATGTTAGATAATTTAATATTGTTCCATGTCTTTTGTATGCTGTATTCTTTTTTTTCACTCTTTTTTTCCTCTTGAGGTTTTAATTTGAATAATTTTAATAACCTATCTTGAAGTTTGCTGATTCTCTCTCCTGCTGTGTCTAATGGTAAACTCAACAAAGGATTGTTTATCTCTATATCACATTTGTAATGCCCAGCATTTCCATTTGACATCTGTAGATAGTTTCCATTTCTCTTTTCAGTTCCCCATTTGTGTGTCCATGTTGTCTACCTTTTCCACTATCTTTAACATATTAATCATAGTTATTTTAGAGATGAGCTTTTTGTAAACTATCTGGCTTTTTCTTATAGTCAAGGTGTGAGCCATATTCTTGTGGATTTCTACATCTGAATTGGAGGCATTACTTGTCAATAGTTAGTTTTGAGGATAAAAAGAATGAGATTAACTTGAATTTCTTTTCTGAATTCTTGTAGAATTTTTTTC